TTTTTTTTTTTTTTGAGTTGGAGTCTCACTCTGTTGCCCAGAATGGAGTGCAGTGGCCGCTGCCAGCCACCGCAGCCTCGCCTGCTGGACTCCGGCAATCCTTCTGCCTCAGCCTTCCAAGTAGCCGGAATTACAGGCATGCGCTACTATACCTGGCTGATTTTTTGATTTATTGTAGAGATGAGGTCTCGCTGCCCAGGCGGGTCTCGAACCTGTGGGCTCAGGCAATCAACTCACCTCAGTCTCCCAAAGGCGCGGGATTACAGGCTGAGCCACTGAGGCCAGCTTTTTTTTTTTTTTTTTTTTTTTGGTGAGTTGGAGTCTCACTCTGTCGCCCAGGCTGGAGTGCAGTGGCATGATCACGGCTCACTGCAGCTTAGACCTCCTGGACTCAGGCGATCCTTCCTCCTCGGCCTACCAAGTAGCTGGGACTACAGGCGCGCACCACCATATCCAGCTAATTTTTTAAAAAATTTTTTGTAGAGATGAGATCTCACTATGGGGCCCAAGCTGGTCTCAAACTCCTGGACTCAGGCGATTCTCCTGCTTTAGCTGCCCACAGTGCTGGGATTATAGGTGTGAGCCACCACGTCCAGCCCAGTCAAAAAATCTTTGACTCCACCTATGACCTGCAAATCCCTGCTTGAAAATGTCCCTCCTTCCTGGACCAAACCAATGAAAATCTCACATGTATTGATTTCTTGTAACTTCCGCCTTCCTAAAACATGTATCACTAAGCCACCATTCAAGCACGTGGGCGCACAGTGTGCACACAGTCTCAGGACCTCCTGAGGTTGGGTGTTCTGGGCTTCAGTCCTCTGGTTTGGATCAGAATAAGCCATCTTAAAATATTTGGCATCTTTTTTATCAACAACTGCACTGATGAGGCCTCTACATACTTAAAGCTTCCATTTGAGTCTCCAGGGGGTAGGTGCGGTGAGAAAGAAAAGTGGTATGGAGCAGCCTGAGGAAAGTGAGATGAGCAAAAGGCATGAGGCCCAGGGAGACTTCAGTCTCATTCCCAGTATCCATGCCCTGTGGTACTTGTTTAAAGATGGGTTTTTTTGCGGGGGGGGGTTGAGTTGGAGTCTCACTCTGTTGCCCAGGCAATACTCTGTTGCAGAGGCAAGCTCACGGCCACCGCAGCCTCCACCTGCTGGGTTCAGGCGATCCTTCCATCTCAGTTTTCAAAGTAGCCGGAACTACAGGCGCACACCACCATACCCAGCTAATTTTTTGATTTATTGTAGAGACAAGGTTTCACCAAGTTACCAGGCTGGTCTTGAACCCGTGGGCTCAGGCAATCCACTCGCCTCGGCCTCCCAAAGTGCTGGGATTACAGGCTGAGCCACTGAGCCCAGTCAGGTGTTTTGTTTATTTCCTTCTCTCAAGTTTCCAGACTAGCTGATTGATGACTAAATCCTGACCTTTTTTTGTTTTCCTAACTAGTTTCCCAGAGAGATGGACTTTTTATTAACTCCCCTATATAATACAGTTTACTTTCCAACCTGACTCTGGCATAGCATCATATAACAGATAAAGAAGGAACATCTATGTATTTTATGACCCTATAAAGCTGTCTTTTGGGGACTCGGGGCACCTTTTAAGATGTTTGCCTGTTCTCTCTGAAGTCCGTCACCACCCATAAAGCTTCATCTACACATCAAGAAACTAGGAGTTTTTCTTCAGTCCTCTTATTTTAACTGGACATCTCCTCTATTGACTGCCAAGTTCCTCAGATAGGAGCTACAAATTGCCAGTCAGAAAATCTTGGAATCCCCCTTTAACCTGCAAGCCCCCCACTTGGAAATGACCTGCCTTCCCATAATGAAGCAATGTAAATCTCACGTGTGTTGACTTACGGTTTTTTGTAACTTCTGTCTCCCTAAAATATATACAAGCAAACTGCAATTCAGCTACCCTAGACACACGCTCTCAAGAATTTTGGGGGACAGTGTCCTGGGCCTTGGTCACTCACATTTGGCTCAGAATAAACCATTTAACATATTTTACAAGCCGGGCTCAGTGGCTCATCCTGTAATCCCGCGCCTTTGGGAGGCTGAGGTGAGTGGATTGCCTGAGCTCGTGGGTTCGAGACCCGCCTGGGCAGGCGAGACCTCATCTCTACAATAAAATAAAAAAATTAGCCGGGCGTGGCAGTGCGCGCCTGTAATTCTGGCTACTTGGAGAAGGCTGAGGCGGAAGGATCGCCGGAGCCCAGCAGGTCAAGGCTGCGGTGGCCGGGAGCGGCCTGCCAAGTAGCCTGCCAAGTAGTCTGAACTGCAGATGCATGCCACCATGCCCAGCTAGTTTTTTTGTGGTTTATTGTAGAGACAAGGTCTCACCAAGTTGCCTAGGCTGGTCTTGAACACCTGGACTCAGGCAATCCTCTCGCCTCAGCCTCCCAAAGTGCTGGGATTATAGGCTTGAGCCACCGTGCCCAACGGGGGTTGCCTCTTACAGAGAAAGGAACTCAGGTTCCCTTTTTGGTCTGTTTATGCAAATGAGGAATGCAGACTTGATTGATTGATGCTCCCTGAGGGTTTTTTTTTTTTTTTTTTTTGACACAGAGTTTTACTCTGTTGCCCAGGCTGCCTCTGTCTCCTGAGCAGCTGGGACTACAGGCACACAACACCATGCCTTCTAATTTTTCTTTTTCTTTTTTTTTTTTTTTTTTGTGGAGACAGTGTCTTACTTTGTTGCCCAGGCTGGTCTCGAACTCCTGGCCTCAAGCAATCCTCCCACCTCAGCCTCCCAAAGTGGTGGGATAACAGGCAGGAGCTGCCGTGCCCGGAAATGCTTGCTGAGTTCTGCTGGGTCAGGGCAGGTCACAGCATATTGGCTGACTCAGGTGGCACAACCAGGAACAGCCAGCTATGAAAGTCCCTAAGTTAAGTAAGCGTGGGGGTTTTCCAGGAAAACAGTTCACTTTGGGAGGCTGAGGCAAGTGGATTGCCCACCTGGGCAACTTGGCGAGACCTCGTCTCTACAATAAATCAAAAATTAGCTGGGTTTGATAGCGCGCGCCTGTAGTTCCGGCTACTTGGAAGGCTGAGACGGAAGGATCGCGGGAGCCCAGCAGGTCGAGGCTGCGGTGGCCGGGAGCGGCCACTGCACTCCAGTCTGGGCGACGGAGTGAGACTCCAACTCAAGAAAAACCAAAAAACAGTTCATGTGCGGTCTTCAGTCAGCAAATGGCCCCTTAGCTCTATTTTGAATGTAGGCCACTCCAGATCCATCTTGAAGAACTGGCTCTTTCAAAGTTCGCAAGGTTATATTGGTGACCTTTTAAAGAACAAACTCAGTGGAATGTTGGAATGGGAAGAAAGTGGAGACAGTCACCGAAAACAGCATTTTTGACCGGGCAAGGTGGGAGGCCAAGGTGAAAGGAAGGATTGCCTGAGCCTGGGAGTTTGAGACCAGCCTGGGCAACTTGGTGAGACCTCATCTATAACAATAAATGAAAAAATTAGTCGGGTGTGGTGGTGCATACCTGTAGTTCCAACTACTTGGAAGGCAGAGGCGGAAGGGTCACCTAAGCCCAGCAGGTCAAGGCAATGGTGGCCGTGAGCAAGCCACTACACTCCAGCCTGGGCAACAGAGTGAAACTTCAACTAAAATAAAATAAAATAAAATAAAATAAAATAAAATAAAATAAAATAAAATAAAATAAAATAAAACATTTTCGACTGGGCGTGGTGGCTGACACCTGTAGTCCCAGCACTTTGAGAGGCAGAGGAGAAAGGATTGTCTGAGTCCAGGATTTGACACTAAGCTTGGACAACTTGATGAGACCTTGTCTCTACAATAAATAAAAAAATTAGCCGGGTGTCGTGGTGTGTGCCTGTAGTTCCAGCTACTTGAAAGGCTGAGGTAGAAGGTTTGCCTGAGCCCAGCAGGTCCAGGCTGCGGTGACTGTGAGCATGCCACTGCATTCCAGCCTGGGTGATGGAGTGAGACTCCAACTCAAAAAGAAAAGAAAGCAGCATTTTCAAGTTCACTCTTAAGGAAAGCCAGAAACGGGGAAGGCCAGTAGGACTTGTGGGTCACGGGAAGGTTGCTGGTCTCAGTCAGGAGACGTCAGAGTTTGTGTGTGCTGATGGCAGTGATCTGGTTCCCTAGACTCTATCTATTTTTTGGAGTCAGAGTTTCACTCTGTTAACCCAAGAGTTCAGTGGTACGATCACAGCTCATGCCAGCCTCCACTTCCTGGCTCAGGGGATCCTTCTGCCTCAGCCTCCTGAGTAGCTGGAACTACAAGCATGCACCACCTTATCCGGCTTATTTTTTAACTTTTGTCGAGACTAGGTCTTGCCATGTTGCCCAGGCTGGTCTCAAACTCCTGATCTCAAGCGATCCTCTTGCCTTGGCCTCGGAAAGTGCTGAGATTAAAAGCATGAGCCACCGCATCCGGCAGGCTCTAGGATTTCTTTTCTTTTCTTTTTTTTTTTTGAGTTGGAGTCTCACTCCGTCGCCCAGACTGGAGTGCAGTGGCCACTCCCGGCCACCGCAGCCTCGGCCTGCTGGGCTCCGGCGATCCTTTCGCCTCAGCCTTCCAAGGAGCTGAAATTACAGGCGAGCGCTACCACACCCGGCTAATTTTTGATTTATTGTAGAGAGGAGGTCTCGCCAAGTTGCCCAGGTGGGTCTCGAACCCGCGGGCTCAGACCATCCACTCACCTCAGCCTCCCAAAGCACGGGATTACAGGTTGAGCCATCCAGCCCGGCTGGTTCTAGGATTTCAACATCAAAGCACACCACCTTCTCTAAGAGCCCTTCTGAACTTCCTGAATAAAACTGCACCCTTGCCTCCTGCCTCCCATACCTTGATCCTGCTATCTTTTTCTAACACTTAGCACCTTCAAATACTCTATACAAGGCGCTTGACCAGTACGTTTGTTGTCTGACTCTCTTCCCTAGAATTTAAGCTTCGAGAGGAGAAAGCTGGGGTCTGGTTGGCTCGTGACTGCTTTCCTAGTGTCTAGCACAGTGCCTGGTTCATTGCAGGGGCTCAGTTAAACATTTGTTGCCTGAGGGAAGGAACAGATAAATCTAGTGGAGGAGCAGTGACTAATGATGGGGGAGGGAGAGGAGGAATTGCAGGAGCAAAGACTTGGAGGAGGTGAGGGGTGGAGTGGATCACGTGGGTGGATTGTAGGCACATCCTACCTGATGACAGAGGAGAGAGGTTGCTTTTTTTTTTTTTTTTTTTTTTTTTGGTAGGGGTCTTACTCTGTCGCCTAGGCTGGAGTGCAGTGGCATGATCACAGCTCACAGCAGCCTTGACTCAGGTGATCCTTCCACCTCAGCCTTCAGAGTAGATGGGACCACAGGCACCCAGCTTACTTTTTGTAGAGAACAGGTCTCGCTATGTTGTCTGGGCTGGTCTTGAACACCTGGGCGCAAGCAATCCTCTCACCTCAGCCTCCCAAAGTGCTGGGATTACAGGCATGAGCCACCGTGCCTGGCCCAAAGACTGCATTTTTAGCAATGGAAAGACAAGGGTGAACACCTTCTCCCTCCCACTCCTCCACTGGAGGAGAATTGCCAGGCAACTTGTGAGGATGGATGTGATGGATGCAGTGATCTGGGGCCCTGGGAAGGAGTGCGGCCTGGAGTGGGAGGAGGAGAGCTGAAGAAGAAGGCTCTAGAAAGTGGGTGCTGGCAAGATAATGGAGGAGAGGCGGGTAGGTCTTGGAAGTATGGTCTTCCTTATTATTACTTTTTTTCTTCTTTCTAAATTTTTATCTATTTAATTATTTACTTAATTAATTATGTCTTTTTTATATATAGAGACGAGGCCTTATATAGGTCACTCAGCCTGCTCCTGTGTCTCTTTGATGGGGCACAGAGTAGGCAGATAGTTGAGCCTGAACTGTGATGTCTTCTGCACAACCTTTCATTGATCAAACAGGGGAAGGGAGACCCTGGGAAAGCTAGCCTGGGGTCCCAGCACTCCCCGCAAACCCAAGTCCCCAGGTCATGTGTCCCTCCTCCTCCAGACTGGATTGCTTGGCCCAGCCTCCTCCCAGGAGGCAGGGTGTGCACAGACAGAGGGCTCTCTAGACCAGGTTGGGGGTGCTCTGAGCTGGGACCATCCCAGAGCAAGGTCCAGGTTGCAGCAGGAGGAGCTGAGGACTGGCCACCCCATGGCCCCTGTCCTGAGAGGAAGCTCCCAAGAGTAAACATCGCCTAATTGACCCGCCCAGCCGGCAGGCCTGTCACATTCCACACTGACCAGAGTCCCAGTCACCAGGGCCCCCTCGCCTTCCACAGGCTGGCTTACCAAGGATGTGCCCATCGCAGCCCAGAGCGCGGTGCCATCCCCTCTGTGTGGCCGGTGTGGGGGGAATCCTCACTTGTGCCTTCTTTCTCCTGGGTTGCTGGGGACGCTTCGATTTCCAGCAGGTGGGCTCGTTTACAGGAGCGGTGGTGTTCTGGAAAGGGGGTTGCCTGGGGGCGGAGGGTGCCAAACAGCCCTGGGGGGGAGGGGTACATACTTTCAGCTGATCACATCAGCTGTGGGGTGGCACTGTGCTGGGCGGGTGAGTCTGAGCTTGGGGATTTGGGGGATGAGGTGTGCTCACTGAGGAGGGAACTGGGTCCTCCGTATGGCCTGCTCATCTGGCAAAGCAGAATCGATGGATACCGGTTTGTCCCAAACCTGTGTGCGTTGCCCAATCCCTCCTCCCACTACCCCTGCCCTTCCCCTTTCCCTCCCCTTCTCCCTCTCCTTTGGTTTTCAGAACTGGGAAAGAATACTTTTTTCCTTTTTTTTTGAGTTTGGGGTCTCTGTCACCCAGGCTGGAGTGCAGAGGCACCATCGTGGCTCACTGCAGCCTTGATCTCCTGGGTTCAGGTGATCTTTCCACCTCAGCCTCCCCAAGTAGCAGGGACTACAGGAATGCACCACCACACCTAGCTAAGTTTTTGATTTTTTGTAGAGACTAGGTCTTGCCATATTGTCCAGGCTGGTCTGGAACTCCTGGACTCAAGCAGTCCTTCTGCCCCAACCTCCCAAAGCACTGAGATTACAAGCATGAACCCTGCACCTGGGCCATCCTCTCTCCCTCTCCCTGTTTGATTTCCCGTCTCTTCTTTGGTCCTCTTCGCCCTCTGCCCACCTCCTTTCTCCCTCTTCATTCATTTTTTGTCTTGCAGAGTTTTCTTCAGGCTTCAGGACTGGAGGAGACGTCTTCTTACTTTGGTCTTGATGCTCCCTCAAAAGGTACTTGTCCTGGTGTCTTCTCACACAGGGGGTGTCTCAGGATTCTTAGGCCATCTCACTGGAGTCAGTGGTCTGGGATTTTGAGTGGATCTGGCAGGAGGAGGTCAGAGAAGTCACCTTCACCCCTGTTAATTAGCTCTGTGACTTCCTGCCGAGTTGATAAAAGTGGGTCTGGGAGTTCTGGCTGGGCTGTTGGTCTGGCCCAGGATTCTGGTAAATATCTCAAGGGAATGATCACTAATTGTCTGGACCCTTCCACCCGATGACCTCTGCTAGGCTGGCAGATTTTCAGGAATTCTTGTGGTTTCTGGCAATGGGTGTAAATATTTACTCCTTCCGTGGGAAACACGATAGGCTTTGGATCAAGTTCCTTCCAGAGCCTGTGAGTTTCCTTATGACAAAGGCCATTCCCCCATTGCTCAAAGGCCCATGTCTGAGGGCTTCTCTGGGTGCCTTCCCCCTCCCCATAGGCCCATTGGTGACTTTGATCAAAAGACTGGTAGGAGCCAGAGGCAGGCTGGCTAGTGGTCAGGGTGAAGAGAATTAGAGGATGTCCCACTTGTGACCCGGCTCTCTGTGGTCTGGGCTGGATACACACTGGTCAGTGCCTGGGGCCCTGCTAGGAGGCTGGATGAGGCCGGGAACTTGGTATCCAAATATCCCATAGCCCATGTCCTTCCAGTTCTGCCCCTCTTGGAGGGGCAAGAAACCATTACCTGGGGTTCCCAAGCCCTCTTAGGGCTCCCTTGGTAAAAGGATAGTGAAAGCTGGGCACAGTGGCTCATGCCTATAATACCAGTATTTTGGGAGGCTGAGGCAGGAGGATCACTTGAGCCCAGGAGTTTGAGACTAGCCTGGGTAACAACATAATGAGACCTCATCTCTACAAAAAATAAAAAAAATTGGCTAGGCATGGTGCGTGCTTGTAGTCCTAGCTACTCAGGAGGCTGAGGCAGGAGGATTGCCTGAGCCCAGTAGGTCGAGGCTGTAGTGAGCCCTGATTGTGCCAATGCACTCCAGCTTGGGTGACAGAGTGAGACCCTGACTCAAAAAAAGGACAGTAAAGGCTGGCCTCTAGCTACGCGCAAGAACCCCACTTGTACTCATTTTCCTGTTGGGGTTCATGTTGTTATTTATGTTTTGCTTTTGTTCTGTTTTCTTTTGTTTTGAGTTGGAATCTCACTCTGTCGCCCAGGCTGGAGTGCAATAGCACACTCAGCCTTCCAAGTAGCTGGAACTACAGGCATTAAATTAAAAATTAGCCCGGCGAATTTTTTGGTTTATTGTAGAGATGATGTCTTGCCAAGTTGTTCAGGCTGGTCTCGAGCCCATGGGCTCAGGCAATCCTCTTACCTCAGCCTCCCAAAGTGCTGGCATTAGAGGCATAAGCCACTGCGCCTGGTTGATATTATTTATGAAACACCTGTGCCCAGACAGGGGTCCAGAAGACAGAGCAGGAGTTTGGGGCTTTAGACAGAGCCACGAGGGCAGTGGGAGACTTGTCTTGATGGGATGACCTGAAGGACACGGTAGCTTGATATCTCCTTCCTAGGCCTTGCCTTTTTGTAAACCCTCAAATGCTCGGTCACTAGTGGGATCTGGACCCTCGAAGTAGGGGTGGGATGCACTGTCTTGACTTCAGAAGGCCATCCTTGGCAGGGTGTGGTGGCTCATACCTGGAATCTCAGCACTTTGGGAGGCTGAAGTAGTAGCTCTGTGCTTGAGTCAGGAGTTCAAGACACTACCCTCTAAGGCCCAGAACCTGCCCTCGCTCGACTCATTGCTTGAGTCAGGAGTTCAAGACCAGCCTGGGCCATAGGGAGACCTCCTCTCTGTAAAACTAAAAATTAAAGAAAGGAAAAAGAAGGCCATCCTTTCAAGACCTGCCAGCCTCTCCTCCATTATCTTCCCAGCACCTGCTTTCTAGAACCTTCTCCTTCAGCCCTCCTCCTTCCCCTCCAGGCCACTCTCCTTCCCAGGGCCTCCAGAGACAGAGGCGAGCTGCCGGAAGCATCCTGCATCTTGAATTGCTGGTGGCCGTGGGCCCTGACGTCTACCAGGCTCACCAGGAGGACACGGAGCGCTATGTACTCACCAACCTCAACATCGTGAGTGCCTGGAGGAAGTGGCCTTTGGGGAAGGCACAGGGCAGCAGGCTCCGAGTCTCTAGTGGGGCAGTGGGCTGTGATTATGAATCTCTGGACACAGAGGCCCCATAGCCAGGGTTGGTGGCCAGCATCAGTGGCTGGCTAGTTTAGACTCAGTGGGTTAAAGTCAGGTATCACACCTTAGGTTTCAGGGCCCTGGGGAAGTGGGGGAGGTGTGGTCTATTTTTCTTTTTTTTTCTTTTCTTGAGTTGGGGTCTCACTCTATTGGCCCATTATGGCTCATCACAACCGCAACCTACTAGGCTCAGGTGATCCTTCTACCTCAGTGCCCAGAGTAGCTGGGACTACAGGTGCTCACCACCATGCCTGGATAATTTATTTATTTATTTATTTATTTTTGAGTTGGAGTCTCACTCCATCACCCACACTGTGGCCACTCCCGGCCACCGCAGCCTCGACTTGCTGGGCTCCAGCGATCCTTCCGCCTCTGCCTTCCAAGTAGCTGGAACTACAGGCACGCGCTACCACACCCGGCTAATTTTTTTGATTTATTGTAGAGATGAGGTGGCCCAGGCGGGTCTCGAACCCGCGGACTCAGGCAATCCACTCACCTCAGCCTCCCAAGGCGTGGGATTACAGGCTGAGTCACCGAGCCTGGCTTAATTTATTTTTATTTTTTTCTTTTTGTAGAGCTAGGGTCTCACCATGTTGCCTAGGCTGGTCTCGAACTCCTGTGTTCAAGCAATCCTCCCGCCTCAGTCTCCCAAATTGCTAGGATTACAGGTCTGCTGAGGCCATGGTCTGCTATTTTCTTCCTCCACTTCTTCCCTTCCCTGGGTGGAAGTAGGTGAGGTCTAGGAACTCCTCTCAGCTTCACAGGTCACCTTTCAGCCTCCCACTACTCATGCCCCTTCACCTGGGGCCCTGCTTAGGTCTGACCTCCTTCCTTGGACCATTTGACCCCTTGGAAGTCAACCAATGCTGTCCCGGCCAACTAGGGTGACAGGCTGCTCACACTACCCTCTAAGGCCCAGAACCTGCCCTCGCTCAGCTCTCTCGTGCCCTACTCAGGGAGGCACAGGGCCGACAGACCAGTTCTATGTCTAACCAGACACCACTGGCAAAGGAGAAGCCCCTCTCACATTTTTGCAGGCACCCCATCCCTGCAGTCCCCCCCACTTGGAAGTTCAGGATAAGGGTGGGCAGAGAAGCTCCATCCCACTAACCATCATCTCAGAAAGACAGGAAAGCCAGCAAAGGCAGGCGCAAATTCAAAGCCCTAATTATCAAGTTTAGTTTAGCACCAACAACTAGGAAATACACTTGAAACATACATGGAACATGACTGTGCTCTGGGCTATTAGGCATTTCCACAGATGTCAAGGAATTACCACCATACGGTGCCCGGTCACCAACCACAGATCAGCGAAGTGGGACATGAGGAGAAGAAACTGACAAAACTCATTCATCCAAAAAAAAAATTCAGACTATGATCAGGCACAGTGGCTGACATTGGTAATCCTAGCACTTTGGAAGGCTGAGGCAGGAGGATTGGTTGAGCCCGGGAGTTTAAGATCAGCCTGAGTAACACGGTGAGATCTCACATCTACAAAAAAATTTTAAAAAATTAGCCGGGCATGGCGGTCCAAGTCTGTAGTCTCAGCTACTTGGGAGGCTGAGGAGGAAGGATCATCTGAACCCAGGAGGTCGAGGCTGTGGTAAGCTGTGATTGTGCCACTGCACTTCAGCCTGGGGGTCAGAATGAGATCCTGACCCCCCCAAAATTTGGACTAACTGGAAATGAGGAACATTTAGGAAATTAGTATCAGCCAATGACTCCACGGCCCCTTGGTGTGCTTAGGAGATGGGGAGGGTGAGGAGACACTGTGATGGTGGGATCCACCCGGCCACCTCTAATAAGTCGGTATAGAGGGTGTTTCTGGTCCCAGCCATAGGAAGCTCCCTCTAGAATACAGGGTACCTGGTACCACTTTGTCCCCAGCCTCAGATCTGTCACCTATTTTGGACAAAAGGAAAGGTTCCCCTGTGCATCTGCCTCACCGGCCTCGTAGCCCAAGCCCCTCCAACCCCTCTGCTCTGTGTTCTGTGTGCCTCCCACCCCAGGTCCCAATTACTCACATGCAGGTGTCCCTCCCAGGTATAGACTTGGTACAAGACCCCGGTGAGAGTGCTTAGATTTTCTGCCCATGAACCCCGAAGGTGATGTTTTCTGTTCTCAGTGAAAAGTACTTCTTCAAAGTCATTTGAAAACTATTGTTTCCAAACTTTGGCAGCCTTTCCCCCCAGAACCTTAATTCTCATGCTGAAATTCAGTAATCAAATCCCATGCTCACTCTGGGCATTCAAGATGATTTAGGAGACCCAGCTAGGTGGTAAGTGTGAAACTGAGACTTTCACCTGCCCAGATGGTGTCAATGGTGGTGACAGCCATTGTCACTCCCAGGCACCTGTTGGTGCCAGGTACTTTGTAGCTACATTGTTCCAAAGTCTGTCAACAACCAGGAGAGAACTGACCTCCATTTTACAGATGAGGAAACTGAGGCTCCCAGGTTAACGAACAGGATTTTGAACATACAGCTAGAAGGTGGCAGAGCTTGGATTTGCACTCGGTTTAGCCGGGGCCAGTGACAAACCATGTTCTCTCCCTTGGGTACCATGTCTCTAAGTAGTCTACTTAGAGGATGAGCTGGTACAGTGCAAGCCGACCGTGTCGGCATCTTGACATGTATGGAGAGAGCTGGAAGCCGGAGAGGCAGGAGAGAGGTCTTCCCATGAGGAGGACCAGGAAAGGACTCTCAGTGAGAGGAGGTGGCCGTTTCGGGAACATGGTTAGGGGTCAGCAGAGTGGAAGGAAATGTGTTCCAGGCAGATGGACGGAGACAGGAAAGGCCTGAGTGAATGCAGTCTGAGAGAGGCAGCATTCGAATGGAATATTCCAGACTAGTGACAACTAAGTGTGCTCTCATTTCCTTTGTGTTAGTTGGCCTTCCTAAGCCATGAACCAGGTGAAGACCAGAGCACGTCTGATTGTCTTTGACTGGCTTCCAGCCCAAGGACTAGCATTTGGGGTGTTCCACCCCCACATCTGATGGTGCAGTCTTTACAGCCCTCCCCACCCGGGGGTCCCTGGTAAGGATGTTACCTGTCTCTCATTTGTCCTTCCACAGGGGTCAGAACTGCTGAGGGACCCGTCCCTGGGGGTCCAGTTCCGTGTGCACCTGGTGAAGATGATCCTTCTGAAGGAGCCCAAGGTAGGCACCGAGTCTGGTTTTGTGACCCCACATAGAGCTTAATGCCCAGAGTCGCCACGTCTCTGTCCCTTTGAACCTCTTTCTTGGACACCTCCAGCAGCAGGGGTCATAGCAGGGCATTCAGCCAGACAAACCAGGCTCTGGCCTCAGCTCTGCCTGGCACCCAGCATGGGCTGCTGACTGTATTTCTCTGAGCCTGTTTCCTCATCTGTAACATGGGCTAGTACTAAGGCTGTTATGAGGACAGCCATCAGCACCATCCTTGGTACTGGTCCCCTAAACGCAGGCTGTGTTATTGATTCCCAGGATGCTCCAAATATCACAGCCAACATCACATCGTCACTGCTGGGTGTCTGTGAATGGAGCCGGACAATTAACCCTGAGAACGACACGGACCCTGGGCACGCTGACCTGGTCCTCTACATCACCAGGTAGCAAAGGTGACCTGGGGGCAGACAGGCACCTTGGCACCATCCAGGTGACTGTTTTCTCTTGCCAAGGTTTGACCTGGAGTTGCCTGATGGGAACCGGCATGTGAGAGGGGTCACACAGCTGGGGGGCGCCTGTTCCCCTTCCTGGAGCTGCCTCATCACTGAGGACACTGGTTTTGACCTGGGGGTCACCATTGCTCATGAGATTGGGCACAGGTAAGCAGCCCCACCAGCTGCCCCAGGTGCTGGCCAAGGAGCTGAACTGGGCCCCTGGGGTGGGAGTGGGGGTCTTGGCAGCCAGTGGGCCTTGCAGATCCGGTCAGAAAAAGGCTGCACCCCTGACCCCAACACACTAGGAAGGATGGGGGTTGAGAACAGGGAAATCTGATACTTCTTGATTGCTCAATGTTTAAAAGAAAACTTTTCCCTCTAAAACAAGCAAAACACATTTAACAATTAGAAAATAACTTGTAGCCGGGCTCGGTGGCTCAGCCTGTAATCCCGCGCTTTGGGAGGCTGAGGTGAGTGGATTGCCTGAGCCCACGGGTTGGAGACCCACCTGGGCAACTTGGTGAGACCTCATCTCCACAATAAATCAAAAAAATTAGCCGGGTGTGGTAGTGCGTGCCTGTAGTTCCAGCTACTTGGAAGGCTGAGGCGGAAGGATCGCAGGAGCCCAGCAGGTCGAGGCTGCAGTGGCCAGGAGCGGCCACCTCACTCCAATCTGGGTGACCGAGTGAGACTCCAACTCAAAAAAAAGAAAAAAAAAGCAAATAACTTGTAGAAGCAAGGCGTGGTGGCTCATGCCTGTAATCCCAGCACTTTGGGAGGCGGAGGCAAGGAGGACTGCGTGAGCCCAGGGGTTTGAGAGCAGCTTGGGCAACTTGGTGAGACCCTGTCTCTACAATAAATCAAAAAATTACCCAGGCATGGTGGTGCACCTGTGGTTCCAGCTACTTGGAAGGTTGAGGTGGGAAGGATCACCTGAGCCCAGCAGTTTGAGGTTGTGGTGGCTCTGATTGTGACACTGCACCCAGTCTAGGCAACAGAGTAAGACTTGGACTCAAAAAAAAAAAAAAAAATTTGTAGAAACTTCAGGTAAAGTAAAAGCAGGCTGTAAAAATTATCTCATATCTCATCACAACAAATAATATCTCCTTATATTTTGTATTTAATTTCAGTTATTTCTTTACATATACACACAAAAGTTTTTTTTTATTTGCAAAATTGGGATTTAGTTTGGATTCTCTGAATTAAAAAACAAAAACAAACAAACAAACAAAAATACAGAGGCCAGGCGCAGTGGCTCACACCTGTAATCTCAGCACTTTGGGAGGCAGAGGTGAGAGAATTGCCTGAGCCAGGGGTTTGAGACCAGTCTGGATAACTTGGCCAGCCCTGTCTCTACAATAATCAAAAAATTAGCCAGGCGTGGTGTAGTTCCAGCTACTTGGAAGGCTGAGGAGGAAGGATCGCTGGAGCCCAACAGGCTGAAGTTGCAGTGGCCAGGAGTGGTCACTGCACTCCAGTCTGGGTGACAGAGTGAGACTCCAACTCCAAAAGAAAGAAAGAAATAATCTAAACATCCAACAAGCGGGAGTTAATTCAATAAATGATGATGCATACCAAAACATGTAAAAGACCTGGGAGACGTGTTTGGGATATTTTGCTATATTAAAAAGCAGGTAACAGCAGTGTACAAGTTAGTTCCCCCCTTTTGTTTTGTTTTGTTGAACTGGAATCTCACTCTGGCGCCCAGGCTGGAGTGCAGTGGCACACTCACCGCCACCGCAGCCTCGACCTGCGGCGATCCTTCCGCCTCAGCCTTCCAAGTAGCTGGAACTACAGGCGCGCGCTCCCACGCCCGGCTGATTTTTGATTTATTGTAGAGACGAGGTCTCGCCAAGTTGCCCGGGCGGGTCTCCAACTCTCAGGCTCAGGCAATCCACTCACCTCGGCCTCCCAAAGCGCGGGATTACAGGCTGAGCCACCGAGCCTGGCTAGATGATCTCTAGTTTTTATGCGTATTATCCCAAAGAGGTGGGGGCCACCCTCCCGGGCGGGCGTTCCTTCCCAGACGGGAAACTGAGGTAGGGCGGGTGCACGGCTGGCTCCACCGTCGCGGTTAGCTGGCGGCGACCCCTGGGGGTCCACCCAGGTCCGAAAACACGCCCGGGACGCGAGAGGCGGCCCCGGTCCCGTGCCTGACCCGGCGGGCCGCCTCCCGCCCGCAGCTTCGGTCTGGAGCACGACGGCGCGCCGGGCAGCAGCTGCGGCCCCGGCGGACACGTGATGGCCACGGATGGCGCCGCGGCCGCCCGCGCCGGCCTCGCCTGGTCCGTCTGCAGCCGCCGGCAGCTGCGGCGCCTGCTCAGGTAGCGGCCGCCGGGCCGGGGGCGCCGTCCC